CGTCCCGTCGCCGCCTCCTCCTCCTCACCTCACCCCGCCCGCGCGCAGTCCGCGCGCCGTCCGCGCGTCCCTCCCCCCGCCCCCCACTCCAGCCCGCCTCTCCCGGGCGGGGGGTGCGGCGCGAGCCCGGAGCGCGCGCGCGTGCCGCGAGCGAAGGATGGATGGATGGAGCTAGCGAGAGCGCGAGCGTGCGCGCGCGCGCCCCTCTCCCCCTCCCTCCGCGCGGGCTCGAGGCCAAGCGCGAGCGCGCTCCAACCTCCTCCTCTTCCTCCTCCCGCCCCTCTTCAACACCCCGCCCCCGCCCTCCCTTCCTCTTCCTTCTTTCGCTTTCGCGCGCCCAGCGACGGCTCGCGCCTGCTAGAAGGGCCCGAGCGCGTGCATCTGCCCCGCGGCCGCAGCTCGGCAGCATTTGCTCCAGGGGGCGGGGACCGAGCGGGGAGGAGGGGCGCCACGCCACGCCGCCGGCCAAAGTACCGGCGGATGGGGACGGGGGCGGGGATATGGGCGGGGTCTTGGGGAGCCATCTCAGCCAATCGTCGCCTCGCCTCGGTCCGGCAGGCCCAATAGAATGGTGGTGGGCGTGGCGGCGTTCAAGGTGAGGTGCGCGGTGCGTTGGGGGGCGGAGACATTGAGCCGTCCCGGCCGGCTCCGGGGCGGGGGCAGCGGGTGGCGTCTAAAGAGAGCGCCGGCTCGTAGCCGAGCCTGGGACGTCTTCCGGCCCAGGTTCCCCCGCCCTTCCCTCGGGGCTCCCGGCTCTCCCCCTCCCCAACCCCTCCACCGCGACGTTTATCCTGAAGCGTGCAGCCACTTCTGGAAGAGGCTAGAGTTAAAGTGGGGCGCAGTTAGCACCCCACGGCAAAAGAATCTGTGGAGCTCAAGGGGCTCGTCTGAACCTCCGTTCCCCATTTCTGGACGGGTGTTAGCCCGCTCCAGGCCTGTGAACCCACACACGCCCGAGATGAGGGTCCTCCGCCGAGGGCGGATGCCGAACTGTGCCCTTCTGAGCTGAGCGTCCTCCCCGCCCTCATCCTAATTTAGATCCCACACCTGCTCGCCTTTCCTGCTTCCGGAACTCACGCTGGACCGCCCCCCTGCCCCCACCTCTTAGAGAGACTGCCTGGCACCGGCCAGACCCTTCCCCCGACTTAGTGACTCTCCTGAGTGTGCCCATATCCGCCCGCTCTCACAGTCCCCCTTTACATTTTGGAGGAAAGGGCCTCCCCAGCCGCAACGGATGCCTAGACTGGGACTTCCATCTCGGTTGGTTTGTGCCTGGAGTCCTGGAATGGGTGTATGACAGCCCTCTCCCTTCAGAAGATAAGATTAAACGGGGAGGAAAGTCTTGAGTCATATACTTAGGGACTACTGTTGGCTCTTTAATCTTTAGCAAACATTTCTAGAGTACATAGTACTATGTGGTTAAGACCAGGAATCAGATCTGAATTTAATCTGTGGACTTGACAAATGAACTTGGGCAAATGGGCTCTGTCACCTCAGTTTCCTCTATTGTCCCTGGGTATGATCGTACCTATGTCCTTAGGTTGTTTCGAGGATTGATAAGTCAGTGCATGTGAAACTCAGCTCAGTCCGCATGCCTGGGAAATCTTAGCTGTCGTTCTTATGGAGCTCTGTAAGAATTCTTATCCGTGCTGGAATGCAAACATGAAATATGACAATTGTACTTCCCCAAGTTCACAATTTACGGTGTAGACAGACTTGTAGGAAAGTAATTGCCAAACCAGGTGATAAAAGCAGGAGAGACATACATAGGAGACAGGTGGCTAGGATAAGAGTTGGTCAGGAAAGACTTCTTGTAGTGGGAGATGAACCAGGTCAGGGTAAGCTAAGAAGGCACTCGACATCCCAAACAGCCAGCTTCAGAACATGGATCAGTCTGGGGATTGGCTGGAACATAGAAATGGGTGGGGAAGCAGCAGGAGGTGAGTAGGTCAGACTACACAGGACTAAGGGTATGCTGAGGAATTTGTGGACTTTAAACCTATACGCCATGAGAAGTCTTCAAGGTAATCATTTGAACAGACGCATTTTAAGTAGATCACTCAGGAATGTGAAGTCTGGGTACAACCTTAGGAGCAGTAGGTTTTTATTTTTTATTTATTTTTCTTATTATTTTTTTTAATCCTCACCTGAGGATATGCTTACTGATGAGAGAGAGAGAGAGACAGAGAGAGAGACAGAGAGACAGAGAGACAGAGAGAGACAGACATGTGCCTTGACTGGGAATCCAGCCCCCAAACTTTCGGTGTTTGGGATGATGCTCCAACTGAGCCAACCAGCCAGCACGGAGGCAGCAGCTTTTTACCATCGATTTGAGGTGTTTGGGGTAAAGGAGAGAGACAGACCCTGAAAACTACCTTTAACCAAGATGGGGAACTCCGAGATGCGAGGATACAGAATGACACGCTTCATTTGGGGCTATGTTGGAGTTACTGTAGGATCAGCTGGTGGAGATTCGCAGAAGTAGTTGAACTTGGGTCCAGAGTAAAGGAGTGAGGCCAGGCCTTCAGGTACCGGCACAGCATGAATCCGGAATTCTCCACTCCATTGATCTGTTTCTAAATATGCGCAGTAAATCCTGCCCTAAGGAATTTACACATACGCAGGAAGCCTTCCTGTCTCCTCCCTGTTTGCCTAAATGCTTTGTTACTTACCCACCTGTGGCCACCCTCAGACCAAATTCCTTTACAACTGGGTTGTACAATTCATTCAGCGCTTGGCTTGGGCTGCTCTGTGGTGGTGACCTCTTTGGGCACATGCCCAGTGTCCACAGTTATCACCAGTCAATAAACACTAAGGACTGCACTTATTTTAGGCTCGGGGTGAGGCTCTGGGGTTACAGAGAGACATACTTGTCCTAGTGGAACTTAACAGCCTCCTGATGTGACGACATCCAGGTCATTGAAGAAACAAATGGCATGGAGATATTTTTGTCAGGGAATGAGGGGAGGGTTCCCTGGAGGAAGTGATATTTTATTTTATTTATTTATTTGAGAGAGAAAGAGAGAAACATTGATGAGTTGTTCCACTTACTCATGCATTCATTAGTTGATTCTGGATATGTCCTGACTGGGTATCGAACCCACAATCTTGGCATATTGGGACGATACTCTAACCAACTGAGCTACTCAGCCAAGGCCAGGAAGTGATCTTTTAAGTGGAGCCCCAAATGAAGCTAGTGGAGAGATGAAGAGGAATATTTTAGGCAGAGGGAACTGTTATATATATACATACACACACACACACACACACAGAATGTGTACAGGCCCGGGAGGAAGTGGTATGTTTGAGACATGGATCACTGGTGTGGCTGGAATTGGGACAGAGAAGCAAGCAGGGTCAACAGATCCCCCAGGGCCTTGCAAGCCATGCTTATTCATTCATTCAACAAATATTTGTTGCATGTCAAATGTAAAACAGGCAGTTTTATTGGGACTATTGTAATGAACAGCAGATAAGGTGTCTTCTGCTTGGGGAGCTGGAAAATACACAAATACACAAATACATAAACAAGGAGCTGTAGAAGGAGGCCTCTTTAGAGAGGGTGGGAAGTGACAGTCCTGTTTGGGAGGTGACATTTGAGCTGAGGCCTGAAAAAAACCCAGCTATGTATCGAGTTGGGGGCATAGCATTTTGGGCAGAGAAAACAAGTGCAAAGGCCCTGTGGTGGGCATGCTTGGGGACCGGAAGAGAGATCCCTTGGCTGGATAACGGGGAGTGGTTAGGAAGCGTGAGGTGAAAGAGAGAGAAGGAAAGAAGGGCCAGACCTTGTAGGGTCATGGTGAGTAAGACATGGTAAATTATCAAGTACAGAAATAATCAGATTTGTTTTTACCAGACCATTTGGGTTGCTATGTGCAGAACGGACTGTAGGGGGCAAGAGTGCAAACAGGGAAGTGGAACTTTAGGTCGTCTTGGCAGAAGTTGAGCAATGGCGTGGCCTTGAATAGGACAGGGATGGCAGTAGTGAAGGAGGGTAGACAGAGGTCAGAGAGACACAGGAAGTAGAATGGACAGGTCTAGGTCAAGGAATAAATGTGGACGTGGAGAGAGCAGTCAATGCTGAAACCCTGGTTTCTAGACTGAATAACTGGATGGTTGGTGATCACTTTGCATCTTGAGGTGTGATACCTGCAAGATGTGCAGGAGGATACACAGACATCTATACAGGTCTGTGACTTGGAAGAGTGGTATCTATAAATACCGCCTGTTGGGATGCTCACCTATGGTGGTAACTGGAGGTTCGCTGACTGACGTGAGCAGTTAGGACAGGATGAGAAGGAGCTGATACAAGCAGAGTAGACCAAGAAGTCAAGAGACAGACAAGTACCCACTGGATGTAATGATGAACATGTTATTGATGTTAGAGACCCTTCAGGGGAGTGGTGAGTGACAGGTGAGGAAATGGGACCATGAGGGGCAATGAGTTTTCCAGAAGCTTCACCAAGAATAGGAAAGGGGCGTGGGGTTGAGACAAGAGCCCTTGGACAGGGCCTGGGTCTTCAGCCCTCGGTGACTCCAGGGACCCAGCCAAGGCCCGTACAGGGAAGGCTCTCCTCCTCAACAGCGGAGAGCGAGTCATCAAAGCCCATCAGACGTCTGGGTGGAGTGAGGAAAGTCACTCCTAACCGTGGGTGAGGCTGAGGACTCCAAGTAGGAGGGTTACCCCAGCTGCCCATTATAAGCCCCGTTACGACCATGGTGAAAGCCTGAACCTAATGGTTCATCACCCTCATTTCCCAGGGCCATGGCCGCTGGGAGTGAATATCATTTGTTTGTTCTCCTGCCAGTCCGCAGTGGTCTGACAACCCAGGGCAAACGCCCTGAAATGAGGAAGTACACGGACAGCAGTAGCACAGGGCAATAGGAAGGTAGGTTGCCTATGGAATCTTTAGGGAAGAGGAAGATGGTTCTAGAGAAAAGAGGCTTCAAGGGTGTTTCCACACTGAACATGATTCCAGTGACCACACAGCAGCCAGACCTTTGTTTTTCACTTTATTGTACAAAAAAAGGGAAAACAAAACTTCCACAGTTGGCTTTAAGCTTAGGCAGACACCTCTAAGCCACTCCCCCTCCCATGATACAAATTCAAGTTGTGGTTGTTGTTGAAACCTACAAAAACACTCCTTAAATATTAGAAAAAAAAGGGGGGGCGGGGCAGGAGTCCTCCCACCCCAGCCATCCCAACCCAGTGCCAAAATGCACTCAAGAGTGACCTCTTACAGCACCAACACCCCCATCCCCACAGCCCTGTTTGTACTGTAAGAATTGAATTTCAATTTTTAAAACGGGGAAAAAAAGCGCCCCCTTCAAAGTTGCTTTTAGATGAAAACACGTTCCACTAAAACACAACAGCTCAGGGGCATTCAAACAGGGCATGGGGTTCTTTGCAGGGGCTCTGGGTAAGAAATAGAACCTATGAAGCCCTGTGCCTAATTCCAGGATAGGGACAAAGGGAGGGCAGCGGGAGTGGGGAGTGTCCCTCCCGCGCTCCCCCAACCCCCAGCACCACATCCAAGGCAGAGTGTTGGCCTGCCTTTGGGAGCAGGATCTACCTCTCTTACCCCGACTCCTAGGCGGGTTTCCCACTCTTCCCCCATCTCTTGGCTTTCACTCAGACGGGGAAGGTGGAAAAGCACAGAGCCCCCATGAAATAGGTCAGTGACATGATTGGGAGGGGGAAAAAAAAAGCCAAAATTTAATCAAAAACAAAACAACAACAAAAAATTAAATCCACAAGACAAGGTGGCTTGGCTTAAAAGTCTAGGAATCAGGGTGCCAAAAATCTCAGGGCGGCTGGGAGGGATCACAGAGAGGGCTGCAAAAGCTGGTTTTGCAGCCCTCTCCCCCAGCTGTGGGTCTGGGGGGTGGAAGGGAGCAGACCTGAGAAATCAAAGGAAATGGGGGCAGGGGAGCTGGAGGATACTCAGGAAAGGCAGGAGGGGTAAGAGCTTGCAAGACATCTATCTCTTGAAGCCTAGGTTCTGAGCCTTGGGTGGCCAGGCGACCCCCCGCCCCCCGGATGAAAGTGGGAGGCCGTTCCCACCAAACACAAGCTTTCCGTTTCGCCTGGTCTGTCCCCCTCCCCGCAGTCCTACTGGATGTCGGAGACCAGCAGCAGCTCGGTCATATGGCCCCGGCAGAGGGAAACTGGTAGGAAGCATCAGAGTGGCTTTGGCACCTCCCCCCCCCAAATTGAATCAGAGATTAGGCAAAGCAGAGGATGTGGAGAAAGGGGCCATCCATCCCAGCCTTCCCAGCCTCAGCCTTCCCCACCAGGGTCAATGTCTCCCTGGCCCTCACCAACCCTTTTACCAGATTCACGGACTGACATGGGCTCCCCCCGTCTCTTGCACACACACACACTTATTCATATTCATGTGCCTTTGCACACATCCACAGGTGCACCCATGCTATGTACAGGACACGCGCGCGCACACACACACTTTTCCATACGTATCAAGTTTTTAAAAAGTCCCAAACCTATCCCCCTAAACCCTCCCTCTCCCAGAAATGACAACAGAGACGGCAGCCGAGATCGGTAGGAAACGTCTCGTTGACAGCTCAGAGCTTAAAAAAAAAATATATACACATATATAAAAAACACCTCTGCCCCTCCCCCCACGAGTGGGTCCAGGTAGCTCCTTCCTGCAGGGGGCAGGGGAGAGGGCTGCGGGGCAGTGCCTGTTTTCTCTTAGGCACCCGCCCTCCTTTCCCCATGTTTCCTGCCTCCAGTTCCAAGTAGGTATCCAGGCAGCAAGCCCCTCTGGGAAGGGAGGGGTCCTCCCCCAAGCTCCCACCCCCCCTTAGGTTGGGCTGCAGGGGTAGAGGGCCTCACTGAACTCTTTGGGACCCCCACCCCACTCCCAGGTCCATTGTCCATGCCGGAACCGCAAGTGCAGAAGGGGGGGGGGCGGTCCAGTCCAGTGGCGGCTCAGTCTGATGGTGGCACTCGCTGGAGGTCCCCAGGGCTGATGTCTCTGAGGCTGCAGAGTGTGGGCCTGGGCTCCTCCGGCCCCTCCCCCCACCGTATTTTGTTTAAAAAAGAAAGAAAGAAAGAAAAAAGTGGGGGAGGGCAGGGGACAGAACAAAGGGGAGAAACAAAGGCGGTCAGTTGGAGAGGAGAGCCCCGGGTGGGGCCGAGTCTCAGTTGGAGTCCGAGTCTGAGGTGTCCCCCGAGGAGGAGGAGCTGGAGCTGCTGCCCTCGGACTCGTTGTCTTCGTCCTCGTCATCGTCCTCGTCGTCATCCTCATCTTCATCATCCTCCTCGTTCTGGGGAGGGGGTGAGACATGCGCCATCACCGGGCGGCCCCACCCGGCCCGGCCCTCCCCTCCCCTCCCCTCCCGGTCTCGCCCGCCCGCCCCACCTCGTCTCCCTCCTCGCTCTCGTCCTCGCTGCTGGACTCCGAGGAGTCCCCGCCATCCTCCGACGAGTCCCCGTTCTCGTCGTCGTCGTCTTCTTCGTCCTCGTCCTCTTCGTCCTCATCCTCGTCCTCATCCTCCTCGGACTCCTGGGAGGGGCAGAGGGACATCAGGAGTCTGGGTCACACCCCTGCAGGCACCGAGGACCCCCGCCCCTCGGGAAGGACTCCTTACGGATTTGGACTGCAGGGTAGTCCGGCTGGACTTGGGGTTTGGGCCTCGCAGCTTGGTCATGCTCTTACGCTTCTGCAGGAGAGACGCAGACAGAGGGAGAGCCCGGGAGTGGCAGACGCACCCCATCACCCCTGACCCCCAGCGCCATCCTGCCCCCAGACTTACGTTGGAGATGTACTCTTTATAGGCTGCACGGTCTTGGGGAGACAGACTCTGGGGGAGACAAAGGAGGAGGTGAGGGCTGGAACACCACCCTAACTACTGCCGACCACAGGCCAGGCAGCGGGCCCAGCATTCATCACTGCCCGTTTTTATACCCTTTCTGGTCTCCCTCCACCTTGGGTCTCTGCAGAGAAACCCTGGCACCTGAGGACCACGCTCCACTATTTCTACTTAGGATGCCCTGAATTCTTCCTGCGTACCCTGTCACAAGACTTATTATTCATGTCCTCCCTATTATTTTACTCAAATCAAAACTCCACAGTCAGGGCCTTCCCCAACTCACGAAAGTCCCCATGACGACACCCCCTGCTCCAAAGCCAGGTGGCATCTGGAGCCACTGACGAGGCTGTCTGGGGCTCACCAAGCTTCTGGAATACCGAAAGCCTGCTACTTCCCTGGGTCATCAGCCGACCTGTCTGGATGGCTGGTGGAGGGACATAAGTGACTCCATTTTACAGATCTGACCGCTAAGCCAAGGCACAGAAGGGGGCCAAGGCAGAATCCAGGAGGGGTCCCTCGGTCCCAAATGGGAAGGAAAAGGCACTCTGATTTGGGTATTTCGACTTAACTAGCTGTATAGCCCTAGATAAGTTACTTAACCTCCCCTGAACCTTGGTCCCCTTGTCTTTGATAGAAACCGTCACCCTTCAGGATTGTTGAGACACTGAGTGTAACCATGAATACGGACCAGCCAGCGTGACGCCTCCCCCTTCCCGGGGTTCCCTGCCGTCTCACCTTGACCCAGAGGTCCAGGTGCACTTTGTACTGCTTCTGCTGCTCCTCGGCCAGCTTTTTGTAGTGCTCCTTCTGGCTCTGGGAGATGCGCTGCCAGCGGCTGCCGATCTCCACCATGCGCTCCTTCAGTGGCAGGTGGTTCAGCTCCCCGTTGGACAGCAGCTCCTGGGAGAACTTCTGGTAACCGTTCCTGGGAGGCGGGGGTGGTACCGGGGGGCGCGGTCAGGATCCCATCCAAGCAGCCCTCGTGCCCTCCCCTCCTCACCCCCAGGGTGGGCTCCAGACTCACATGGGAGGCTTCTTGGGTTCTCCCTGGAACTTCATCTTCTTGGATGAGTTCGCAGCAGCTGGGGGTGCCCGCATCTCACTCAGCTCTCTCTGTGGGGAAAGCCGGGATGGTCACACCCACCCTGTCTCCACCTCCCAACATGCTCCCCAGCTCGCCCCACGCTGTCACTGCCTCAGCGGGCCCTCTGTTCACGTGCCAGGGAGGAGGAGGAGGACAACGAGCCAGGGAGCAACTTCTCCACAATTCACACCTGTGTCGGGCACTGCCATTCGAAAGTGCCTTCACGGTTACAAACGTCACGTCCACTTGCTGACGTGTGACTGAGGCTCACAGAGGGATGTCAGGAGACTTTTTCTGGGTCACACAGCCAAGGCTGGGACTTCCGGCTCCAAGCCCCATGCAGGGAAGAAAGCCGCACACCCACGAGGGGGCTCCCAAGTTTTAAGTGGAGGAAGCTGGCCCCAGCTCCGCCCCGCCCCGCCCTGCCCCGCCCCACTGCACCACACTAACCAGCAGCCCGTCCCACCTCGTATCGTTTTTGGTCTTCAGCCGCCTTCTTAATCCACATGAGTTTCTCCTTCTTTTCCATGTTGTTCCAGGTCATCTCCATGGCTTTCAAGGCCTTCCCCCGATCATTCTGGGAAGAGACGGGGGTGTCAGCCGTGGGAGGAGCGTCACGTGGGGCCGGAGAAGGCCCGTGTGGACGGGCTGCGGAACCACCCCTTTCCCACTCCCCACTACCTTAAAGCGGGCCAGGTAGTCACCGATGACGCTCTGTTGCCAGATCTCCTCCGCTCTCTTGGGTGACTCAGGAAGTTTGCCCCGTTCCTCGCGCTCCCCGCCCGGCTTCCTCTCCGACTGAGCCTTCAACGCGGCTTCCCGGGCCTTGTACTTGGCCTGCAGACATGGCACCAGGCGTCAGCCTCCCGGCCACCCCCAGGGGGCGCGCGTTCCCCATCCAGCCGTTGAAGGCTCCCCACCGCTGCGAGGGTGGGAAGAGCGGAGCAGAGCCGGCTGGTGCAAGACTCCTCCGGCCCCAGGCGCAGCCCCGCCCACCCGCGCTGCTCCCCAGGGAGCCAACAGCCCTCAGCTGGCTGACAGCTTCCCGCCTTCCGGCTTGCTGGGCTCCCAGCCCCAGCATCTGAGCCCAGGCACCAGCGTGGCCCACACAGGGCAGGGGTGGAGGTGCGGCCAGCCCTTTGGGAAGCAGCGGCCCACAGCTCAGACGCGCAGCCAGGACCCCGGTCTGGCCAGCCTGACCTTCTTCTTCTCTGACAAGTCGTTCCACATGCGCGCCAGCAGGCGGGTCAGCTCGCTTTCCGAGAGCTCTGGCCGTTCCTCCTGCAGCTGCCGCCGCTTCTCCTCGGAGAAGATGAACATGGCTGACACCGGCCTCTTCGGCTTCTCTGAGCTGCCCTGTAGAAGTGCAGGAGAGGTCAGAGCCCTCCGAGTGTCGACAGGGAGCCCGCCTTCCCCAGCCCCACCGGCTCAGGGGTGCTCCCTGCCCACCTTGCCCCCTTCCTGGGAGGGCTTCTTGGAGGCTGGGCTGGTGGTTTGCTTCTTGTTGATGTTCAACATCTTTTCTTCCCCCAAGACCCGCTGCTGCTCCTCCTCTGGCAAGCTCTGGCGGGGGGAGAAGAGGCGGCATGGGGCTGCAGGCCGGGCCCCAGGCTGCTCTCAGGCTGTCCTAAGGGCCCTGCCACCAATCCCGAGGCTTCCTCGCTCTGCCCACTGCCTCACCCACTCACCTCCAGAAAACGGAGCAGTTCCACCTCATAATCTTTCTTTTTCTGGGGGAAGGAAGGGGAGTCAGGGTCAGTCAGGGGGCAGGCGCATTGGAGCCCCCTGTGCTCGGGGACGGGAGCCCCCAGCAAGCCTTCGGGAGCCAGGCCAGGGGCCCGTCTCCCCCCACGGATGGCCGGCAGAAGGCCTACGTTTTATCTGCTGATTTACCCAGACGTTGGACCCAGCACGACACTGCACTCGAAGGAGATGCCCAAGGGGCCAGATCTCGTGCTCCAGTCCCCCGAGGGTCTCCAGCGGCCCTCCCTCTCCAGGGGTAGTTCCCGCCACAGCTCACCTGGTCGCACTTCTTGTGGTAGGCGTCCTTCTCCTTCTGGGAGAGCAGCTTCCACTGCTGGCTGCACAGCACCATGCGCTCCGTGCTGGGCACGTCCTTCATGTTGGCCATCAGCTCCGCGCAGTACAGCGAATAGCTGTTCCTATCAGGACCGCAGAAACGGGAGAGCATCCCCGTGAGTGACAGGGTGGCCCAGGGCGGCAGCCTCCTCACTCCCAGCGCCTGGGCCGAGGTCCCTCACCAGCCGGCTCTCCTCCTGCCCACTCGCCCGCCCGCCCACCCACCCCAAGGCAGCGCTCACGGAGGTGGCTTGGTGGGTCGCCCATCAAACTTGTCCTTGAGCTGGCGTTCGGCCTTGGTGAGGGTGGACTTGGTGATGCCCTCCTCACTGATGTTCAGCTCGGGGTGCTTCTGGATATAGTCACGCATAATCTCCTGCAGAGTGAGGTGGGGGGACGGAGGGCAACGGGGTGTGGGGTTAGCCGGGGCCAGGAAGGGGGGAGAGCCGCTGGGAAGGGGAGGCAGGGAGCGAAGCTGGGGGGTGGCCGTGTGTCTGCTGTGTCACACGAGAAGTGCCCTGCCCTGCCCTAGCCTGAGATCTCCTGGTGGGGGAGGGGGGACACGGGAGAGGTAGGGGCAGAGGTGAGGGGCCCAAAAGGCCCCTGCCTCAGTGGAGGGATGGGGGGTGACTGCCTCCTGCGGAGTGCGGAGGCCACCGAGTCAGAGGGCAGAGGCTCATGAAGAGCCGGATGGGGAGGAGCGCAGCGGAAGCCTAACCTCGTACTCCTTCCGCTGCTCCAGGGCCTTATGAATCCATTTCAGCCTCTTTTTGTCCGAGAGCTGAGACCACTGCTTCCCCAGGGAGTCCTTCACCTCCTTCGTAGTGGCCTGCAAACCAAAAGCCGTCAGACACACACAGGCAGCCAGGAGCAGGGGGAAGGGAGGGGTTGGGGGGTGGGGGGGCACAGAGGCCCCCGCCCCCTCAGGCCACAGGAGGTCACAGGAGTGTCCCCCACAGGCCAGGAGGGGAAGGCAGAGAGGCGGGGGGTCCCGCCTGGGTGCAAGGGCAGGCTCAGACACACACACGCACGCACACGCTTGCACGCCAGCTGGCCCAGGCCCTGTCCATGCAGCCCACCCCTGGGGAGGGGCCTCCTCTCCTGCTCCATGCCCAGCCGACCTGATGCGGCTCCCCCCTTGCCCCCGCCATGTGCCCTCTGCCCCCGCCCCTTGGCCAGGCACTCACATCTGGCCGAACTTTGAGATACACCTTCTTCTCGTGGGTGTACCACAGCTGCTGGGGGGTTTTGGGCTTCTCGGGGATGTCAGACTTCTTCGCATTCTGGATTAAATCGGGGTGATCCTCCCTAGCCAGGGTGTGAGGAGCGACAGTCAGCAGGCGGTGGAGAGCCTGTCAGGGCAGACCCAGCTAGCTGCCCCACCCGCCAAGGCTCCTGGGCCCGTCAGCTGGGGACTAGTGGGACAGCGGTTGCCTGACTGTCCCTGCCCTTGAGCCCGGCCCACTAGGGCTTACACATGACCCATCCACCTGCCATGCCTCACAGATGGCCGTGCCTCACGGCTCCGGTCGGTGCTACCCTGTCCTGCCACACCCAGTGCCCTGTGGCCCTCCGCTGGGCTCCACTGCCTTACCTGAACCGGGCCAGGTTTCGCTCGAACTCCTGTTTCTCCCTCTGGAAGTCCTGAATATATTTCATCTGGGGGGAGGAGGGGATGGGGTCACCAACAACCCAAGGCTGGAGCTACGAAAGCCACCGTGTCCTCCTTGCTAGCTACTCTGCCTCCCAGTTGGTGACATGGACGGACGGAAGATGGCGCAGGCACACGCTAGGGAGGCTGGCCTGCCTTCCAGTGGGTGGGGCTCGACAGTGACTCAGGTTAGCGGGAGCTCCAGGAGTCTCCCAAAACACATCCTACGTCCTATTCCCACCTTTTAAGATAGGAAGAGAGTCCTAGAGTGGGGACGTGACATTACCCAGCCACACAGGACACAGTGACAGGGCTGGGACTCCCCCTAGACCTCGCAACTCTCTCCATGAAGAGTCAGGAGGCGCAGGACTGGCCCCCATCGCCCCCTCCTCCGATGTCTGTGGCAGGTGATATCGGCCTGCCCCCTAAGAGGTGGCCCACAGAGCCGGGGACAGGCCGAGTCCTGCCTCCAAGGCATGACTGGGGTATTAAAGGGACCCCACAGTGAATTCTTCCAATGCAAGTCATATCTTAATGGCTGTCTCCTGAAGTGTGACATTCCCCCCATTTACTACGTCCGGGTCCCCGGCTGTCCTTCAAAATTCTGACACCAGCCCCCTTCACTCCTCAGCTATCCCTTCCCCTCTGCCCCTTCCATTCGTCTGGTTCTTCCCTGCGATCACCGCCTGACTGCTCCCTGCATCTCTCCTACCTCTTCCCAGCCTCTCCGCTTCCTGCCCAGTGTCTTTTCCTTCCTCACCCACCGCCCGCCCCAACTCGCGCACAGCACCCGCCTCTCCTTTCTGCCTGTTCCCAGATTCACGGGCAGCCCTGGAAGGGGCCAGGGGCTCGCGGTGATGGAGCCCAACCCCTGCCTCTCACAGAAGAGACACCGGCGCAGGGAGAAAGGCCCCCTTTCCCCTGAGGGTCCCGCAGAAAACTGAGAGCGGAGCTCAGCCTGCTCAGCCCCAGCCCCCCTTGCACACACCACTGCCCTTGGAGCTGAAAGGCACCGCAGGGCGCAGGCTCAGCCTCCACACCTCCTCAGTGCGATCAGACCGGGCCAGAGCAGGTGACTTACCGAAGGTCACGGTGACTGGGTGGGAGTCACGACAGGCCCAAGTCTCACGTCCCCTAAGCCAACACTCCGCCTACCCTACCACAGTTCCTTATGCCCCTCCCTGGTCCTCAACTCTCTGCCTCTCCCCCCCATCCCATGGGTGACTGGGTGTCATCTGTATATTCAGTTCTTCGATATCCTCATTAAAGGGTCAGAGTAGCTCCAGCAATTCAGGCTCCTGCTCGGCTTGGGCAGCAGTTGCAGACGCCTGGTTTTAACCCAGCTGAGCCTGCAACCAGGGTGCACCATCCACGCCAAGGGCCACTCACAGGGCAGCGGCTGGCGCCACCCCCAGAGAACCGGCTGTAGACAACTCTGTTGTCTCATTCCTTCTGTGGTCCCTCATCGCCTCTCCCTGGCTCCACGTCCGCCACTTAGCATCTCGTCCTTGTGTCCATCTCACTCCCTACCCCATCTCCCTTGAGTCCCAGCTGCAGGCTCCTCCAGGGCTCTGCTGCCTATCTCTTTGAGGGACTGCTGGACCTCACTGTACTTGACTATCCGTCCCTGCCTGGGAGGTCAGGGCAACCTCCGAGCGAGGTTAACAGCCTCCAAAGGTCTGAAATAGCATGAGGCCGCCAGGGATGATGTGTATCCTCGGGCGCACATGTGCACAGGGAAGGAAGCCCACCTAAACTGAACGTAAACGTAGCAGTGAGAAGAGCACTGGATAGGGAGTCCAGAGCCATTACACCCGGGGTCCTGCTCTGGCATGATTAGTTGTGGGACCCGAGACAAGATACCCTCCTGCACCCCAGTTCCTTGCTCACAAAATTGGGATACCCTGTTCTCCTGGGGTTGCCTTTACGCTGCGCAGGCCTCACAGTGAGGTCGCGTCCATGGGGGCGGGGCTGTATAAAAGAACCCTGAGGGCTGTGGTTGGTCCCAGCACCTGCTGGCCTCAGCCTGGGCTCCACCTGGGACAGTGCCTGTATTTGACGGTGTGCAGACCTGGGAGTGTGGCTGCCCCAGACCCTACTCCGCTCTGCTGACCCACTCACGTCCCTGCTGCCAAGTCCCTCCGTCCGAGCCCCCTCCCCTGCCCCCAAGAGCTGACCCACACGACGCCAGCTGCTCCCAGCCTTCCCCTCCCCCCACCTGAAGCCCCCCTCCCCCCACCTTCTTCTTCTCGGGGAGTTCCTTGTATTTCTTGGACAGAATCTTGGTCAGGTCCAGGTTGCTCATCTCAGGGTGAAGTTTCGCATACTTGGCCCGCTTCTCCATGAAGAAGCGGAAATAAGGGGTCAGGGGCTTCTTTGGGAAGTCCGGGTGTTTCTGGAAGGAGGGGCAAGGATACGGTAAAGGTCAAACGGCATCCATTCTTTGGACTGGTCCTCTCCTGCCCCGCGTGCTCCTCCTCCTGGAAACTCACCTTGAGTTTTTTGCCTTTGTACGGATTTTTGACATGTTCCTGAGCATCGAGGATCAATTCTGTCAATGTGCGGAACTTTCGCACCTGGAGGGAGAAGGGAGGTGAGCGAAAGGGAAAGTTCAGGACAGGGGACACGACCTGGGAGCAGACCCCCACTTGCCAACGGGTCTCCTCGACTTCCCACTAGACTGAATGTGTTGGAAGAGGAGGGTAGAGGCCAACAGCCACACCCCTGAGGGAGCCCCCGACATCCGGGCGGACGCCCAGCCGCTGGCCCGCGCCTACTGCAGAGGCCCAGGCAGCCAGACACACCAAAGGACGGCAGCAGGGTGACCCCCTGACCTCAATGTGGTTGTCCATGCCAGCACCTCATTCAATCCCCAGAACAGCTCAGGCGACAGGAGCTCCAAGATGGTAAGGGTTCAAGGCCACAGAGCTAGAAAGTGGCAGAACTGAGAACTCTAGGCCAGTGCTGTCAACCGTGCCACCTCCAAAAATGCACAAAAGCGACCACATGAGCACCTCGCCCGGGCTCTTTCTTCCTGTTTATAGACTTCTGTTTCATCTCCCCCACCAGGAAGGTTAAGACAGGGGTCCGTGGAGAGGTGAGTTCCTAAGTGTCAGGAAGGGAGGGGGGGATGCCAGTTACCTCGTTAGAAATCTCCACCCATTTGAGCTTGCACATGTCTCCAGAAAAGTCTTTAAATGCTACTTTTTCCCAGTCCATGTGTGACTCAGTGGTTTTGAACTTGGAGCTATCATTGGACGGCAGGTTGTTCTTCATGCATTCGAGCAAAGTCAGCATGTCTTCCTGGGACCAGCGGTCTGGGGACGGGTAAGAAAGGCGATCGTGCCTGGCTCTTTCTACCCCTCCGCCTGTTCCCCAGTCCCTCTGTGCTTAACCCTTCCTCCCCAGAGCACCCCACTCCCTGGTTACTTCCCACCTAAAGACACAACGAAACACGGCCTAAGCCTAAGGAGAAACGGTGGCCTTATGAATCATGGCAGGGTCTGCAGCCTGGACAGTACCGTACCTAGAAAGCCAGGGTTGACTGTGAGGTGCTATTTACTGCAGGGAAGGGGAGGAAATGAAGCTTCTGTGATTTGGAGCCCTGTGGGAAGGCAGCTAGCTTATCAGGGAAGGGCGGGAAGCACGGAGGCAACATTTCTAAATGTGTCGCCAAGTTCAAGCCTAAGTTGGAGGTAGATACCCTAAGTGTTCAACAACTGAGGATGGGTTGTGGGCTGTAAGGAGAACCAAGGTAGATGCTGCTCTCCAGCACAGCTGAAAGCTAAACTAACATTACAGACATGGGTGTTCCAGCTCTCTCCTGGCCCCTTGAGGAAGACCAGAGGAGCATTTGGGGCATGGAAGTAAAATTTAATAGAAATGGTTCTTTCATTTCTGTACAGGAAAGCTGCAAGGCTAGGCAGGTGGGCAAAAGCTCTCAGGGCCCGGCTCCAGGGAGAACCTCCAGAATTCTGAGTTGTCTTCTCAGCCCGATTCCCCATCCAAACAACAAAAAAGGTGGCCTGGACCAGCTCCTTCCAGCCACGGAAACACAGCTCCAGTGAGGAGTCTCTGGAGGGCGACTAGCCCGGAAGGGGAGCCGAGAGAACAGCTCTCCAAGGCCAGCAGTCAGAAGGGCTCCTCATTTGCATTTATATCTGGTAACCTGGGCCAGGGTTTCCGTAGGGCAGGTCACAGAAACCCATAATCCTCTCTTTTCAATGGCCCACAGGCCTTGCCAGATGCTCTGCTTCATCCTACTCCTGCCCGCATCCTCTCTGGATCCCTGCTGGGTGGCGTGGGGTCTAGTTATGTACAAAACTCCTTTGGCTTGTGATCCCAAACCACCGATAAACACTTTCCAACTATCTCACCAAAAACCTTGTCCTCTTAGTAATAAAAACCTCTGAAAATCCTTCTCAACCCATCTCTTCTGCTTCCTCCACATTTCTCATCCTTCCTCCCATTGCAGGACACTGGGGGAGGAGACACCCGGGGGGGGCTGACTGGGAACCTCAGAAAGAAGGCTTGTAGGGGCCTCCTCTCTCTCTCTCTCATGCAGTGGGGAATGGAACGTGAAAACTACAAGGCCTAATAATTTGGATCGAGCCAACCCCCCAGTGTGAGGGATGCTTGATTCTTAAAGGCACCCTCCCCCAGAGAATGCAGACTGGAGAAAACCCTTTAGAAGGGGAGTGGGTCCTGCAGACAGCCATGTGGGAAAGCAAATTTAAGTTAAAGAGGGCTGAGGGTGGGGGCTCCTACCTTGGCCTTTGGGGGCGGCCATTTCCAGGTCTGTGGGGCAGTCAGCTTCTCCGTTCATTCTCCACCCGTCCAGCCACTTCCTCGTTCACGCTGGCCGGGACACCCGGGTTCAAAGCCACCTCACCCTTTAGAAGAGATACCAGTCTCTACTCAGGCAGGCAGGGAGGTGAAAGACTTTCTATTCCTCCCCCCCAGAGGGGAGGGGGCAAAAGTCCCCACTCGCAGAGAGACCCTGTCAGGACCCTAGTAGGTTTCATAGGAGGGTGGGTGTGAAAGAACTCTCCTCCTTTTCCTTCTAACCCCTTCCCCCAGGCCCTTGCAGCCCGGCTTGGCGGCTTGCGCCCTCCCCTGCCCACGCGAGAGACTGCTCCCAGCTACCGCGTGCAGCTAGCGCCCGCCCTCCACTCTCCTTCCCCCACCCCAGCCAAAAACCTCCTCCTCCCCTTTGCGCCCGCCTGGGGGAGGCCCCAGGCTAGAGGGCGGGGGAGGAGGAAGGGCGGGTAAAGGGCGCGCGCCGCCGCGGAAGCGGGCACGCGCCGCAGTCTCCTCCTCCCGCCTCCCCCCGCGGCCGGTTCCCCCCGCCTCCGCAACCCGGCGGGGACCCGGACGCAGCGCAGCCGCCGCCGGCCTCGGAGTGCAGCGGCCGCACCGCCCCCGGGGACCGGATCCGGATTCCCGCCGCCCCCCCCTTCGGGCTCCTGACGCCGTCCCTGCCCGGCTGGGCAGGCAAGCAGCCGGAGAAAAGCGGCCTGCCCCCCGCCCCCGAGCCACCCACCCCGGCCAGAGGGGCCGCCACCGCCCAGCCACCCCGACGCGCAAGGAGGAACCCGGCGCAGAGGCGCGACCACGGCGGGAACCGCCGCCTCCTCCCCCAAGCTTGCGGCCCAGCCCCGCCGGCGCCCCCGCCCCGGCCTCCGGGGAGCGGAGCCAAGGAGAGGGCGGGAGGACGGCGGCCCGGAGGCGGGGGCGCAGCGCTCACCGGCCCCGCCGCCCCCTCCGGCAGCCGGCGAGAACTGCGCCTGCCGGCTCGGAGAAGCGCGGCCTCCTCCGATCGCGGCCCGGGCTCGGCTCGGGCCTCGCTTCCTGCCCTCCCCTCCCCCGGTTCTCAGCGTCCTCTCCAGTGCCCTGGTCCTCCCCCGCCCAGTCCTCGGCCCGGAGGTCGCTCCGGGCATCCACCTCATCCGCTGTTCGCTCCCCGCTGCCCGGCCCTGATCGCGGATGCGTCCCAAGCCGCGGTTACCCGGCGCAGCGCGGCGTCCGGGCTTCCCGCTCCGGCGGCTCCCTCCCCGGTTCTGAGCGGCGGCGCCCTCCCCCGCTCGGCCGGGCACAGCCGCAGCTCCCTCCCGCGGTGGCAGCGGCTCCTCCTCCGGGCGCGGCGGCGGCGCTGGGGCGGCGGCTGCTGCTGCTGCTGTGGCGGCGGCTGTGGCTGCTGCCTGCTGCTCCTCGCGGCGAAAAGCACAAAGCACAGCGCCCTCCGCCTGCAGGCAGCCCGCCCGCCGCCCGCCCGCCGGCCCCGGCCTCAGTTCGCACACCCCCCGCCGCCGCCGCAGCCTCCGCCGCCGGAGCGGGGAGGAGGAGGGAGGAGGAGGAGCGGGAGGGGGGCGGGAGAAGCGGGGCAGCGAGCGCGTCCTTCCCCGTGGAGCGCACACCGACCCCCGGGGAGCGAGCGCCAGCCCGCCCGCCTCGCCGGCTCCGCTCCCTCCCACAGCCTGCCCGGGCGGGCTCCGCGGGGGGCAGTTGGGAGGAGGGGCGGGAGCTGGGGGGACCCGGGCGGCCGAGGCGGAGGGAAGGAAGGAGGGGAGGGGTGGTGGTGGTGGTGGCGGCGGCTGCTGCTGCCGCCGCCGCCGGGGAGGGGGGGCCGAGGCAGGGAGACACGCAGCCGCCCGGATGGCGGAGCTCGGAGCCGGGGCGGGCGCGGAGAGCTACCTCGCCAGACCCGCGGGAGAACTGGCATGCTTGGCCGGCAAGGGAGGCATGCCGCGAGGTGCGGCCGCAGAGAGGGTGCCTGGAGGGCCCCCCGGCGGCCGGAGAGGCTTAGGGGGTGCCCGGGGCTCTCCCCCAAGTCCTCCCAGCTCAGATTCTGGCTTCCACGCCAGCCCTCGTCCGCTCCCTTCTCCTGCCTCCCGGAGCGGGCAGTCCGCGCCCACCCTCACCCCCGGAGCGTGGCCACCAGCTTGGGGCGCACGCATGCCAATCGCGGCGCCAGGCTTCGGCGCTTTCCTCGCGGTTCCCTCTCTGCCGAGCAACGCACACCCGAAACTTTATTTTTAAAAAAAAACCACCAACCAAAACCCTAAAAAATGCTCTTCCTGTAAATTAAAAGGAAAAAAAAAAAAACCTCCTTTGCTTCTTACACCCTACAAAGGGCGAGGAAAAGACGGGCTCCGGCAGAGGAGCCTCTCTGGGAGCCGGTTCAATCCAGCCCGGCATGTCTCCCCAGGCCTGCCCGGGCGCATGGAGATCGGCGCCGCTGCCACTCGCAGTAACCCCTCTCCCCCGAAATCCACGGCACCGGGGTTCACTTACCGAGCGTGTGAATGAGAGCGCGGGCCAGGGGCACCTAGGGGTGCGGCAGGCCGAAGAGCCGAGCCGCAGCTCCCCCGCAGCCGATGCTGGGGCAGCGAGTTGCCAGACAAAGCCCGAGATGGCGAAGCGGAGCGACGGCTAATGGCGAGCCCCACGCGCCGCGCTCCGCCCGCCCCGCTCCGCCCGCCCGCCCGCCTCGGCGCAGCGCGGCGCCGCTCCGAGCGCTCGACCGTCAGAACCGCCTCGGCGCCACCGCCTCCCGGGCCACCCTGGCCTCGCCTGGCCCCTCCGCCTCCTCCGAGAGGCTCAGCCTCACCCTTTCCCTCCCACCGCGCTGGGGGCCGCACGAAAATAAAAAGAAAAATGCTTTTCTTTTCCTTTTTTTTTTTTTCTTTTGGCAGGGCGGGCGTGTTGAGACTTTTGGGTTTTTTGCCCCCAGCTCGCACTCACCTGCGGAGCCGTCGGGAGGGCTGGGGGTGGGGGCTCGCGGGGCTGGAGCCGGCGAGCGCGGGTTGAAAGCTAGCCAAGCTCTGCAGCGCCCGACCCGGGCGTATACGCCGCCGCCAGTCCCCGCAGAGAAATCGTCCTCCTACCCCCGCCTCCATCGCTCTGCGTTTCTCTTCCAATCAGCCGGTCGCTTGGCGGCTCCTCCATTCTCCGGCCAAGCCCGCTGCCTAGAGCGAGCTCCACTCCATCTGCTCGCCCAGCTCCTCGCTCCCCCGCCGGGGCTGACGAGGCGATGTGGGGCCGGAGGGGGATTTGCGAGGGAACCTGCCTGCTTCCCGCTCCCATTGCTCCCTCCCCGCTGCCTCCTGCCTCCTGCTTCTCTCCTGCGTCTTTCCAACTCTCCCCTGTCGCCACTGGTGTGTGTCTGAGTGTGTGCGCGTTTTTTTTTTTTTTATTGCTCTTTGCTTTTGCAACCCTGAAGCCAAAGCGGGGGGGTGGGGGAGGAGAGCAAAGGGAGGGGGGTGTTACAAAAAGAAAAAAAGAAAGAAAGAAGCTCTTAGATTCGCAACACATGGAAAAACCGGGGGAGCACCCCGCTTCGTCCGATCTCGGTGCCCGGGAGGGCCTTCCGGGTTTGGGAGCGGGCCTGTCGTCGTCCTCGGTGCCCCTAACCTCCGCCGGGTGTAGGATCCGAGGAGTCCGAGCAAAAAGTTCTCCCCCTGAGCCGTATGAAGGGGTGTCAGAGTGGGAGTTGGGATTTCTCGAGAAGCGGCAGCCATCCCTCGTACCCAGGCTTCGTTAGCTGGGCCGGGGTAGGGGTGGAGAGCAAAATCCCGGTGGGTTTTCGGAAGGGGCTTCCCTTGGCGGGCGAAGTCGGAGTCAGGAGACCAGGCTTCGCACATCTCCCCCTCGGTCTCTGCCTCCGGTCCCCTTCCAGCTCCCCCTTTAATTTTTTTTTTTTCTCTCTCCTTTAATCTAATTTCTTCCAACTCCACCTTTGTTGTTAACCGGCGTCACGCGGGGATCAGCCAATCCCCGTCACGCAATCAGCTTGTCAAAAAGGCTTGGCCAGCCCTGGGAAAGCAGGCCACGGACGCGGCCCCCACCTCGTCCTTCACCCCACCCCGACCGGTGGCGGGGAGCCTTGAGGGGAGCCTGGCACCCCGGCCTCTCCGCCCAAGCTGCAGCGGAGCAGGCTTCGCGTAGGCCTCCCGCACTCCAGCGTCCTGCGGGCCGGGTATCGAAAGCCCTGGGCGGGGTCCACGATCCACCCGCCCACTGCCGTCGGCTGTGGTAGTCTCAGGCTCTCCGGTGGAGAGGAAGGTTTATCGGGACGCAGGGAGCCAGGAGACAGCCTAAAGAACGCCTTCTCCAAACAGGCGCGCCTGCGGTTTCGGCCGTCGCTCCGGGGGCAGCCATTGCTCCCGCTCCCAGGCCGCCGGCCTCCCACACCAGCACGGCTCCTGCCCACATCTCCGCCAGCTGGGTCACCGGCCCCTTTGACTCTCCCCTGTCGCACAGCTTTCTCCATGCTCACAAAACCGCCTCGCTGCTGTTGTAATTCCTCTGGTCTCCTGGGAGAGATGAGATTCCTTTCCCAGGACTTGCACAGCTCACATCTGCCACGTTTCACAAACGGAGAAAAACCCTGTCAAGATCCAGTGTGTCCAGATTTTTCAGTGGGCCGGGCCTGTAGGAGAGGCGGATTTACCTTAATGCTAATGCAGCTCATTTGCAGGGTGCTCCAAGGCCCTGTACTTACTTTTGACTCATCGTTCCGTATTTTTGTTAGCTACTCGCCCCCCCCCGCCCCAGGCCTGGATTTTTTTTTTTTTTTTAAACAAGTTTCAGCCCCAGAAACCCAGTTCTGCTCTTGGAACGTACAGGATGTAGGAACAGGCCATCTCATGGGGACTATCTTGTTTTGACTGGGAAACAACAAAAGATTCGAAATGAGAAGTCCCAGCTTCCCAGCGTCCCAGCGTCCCAGCTTCCCCTCCTTGCTAGTAGTGTGTGAGTTTTGATCAAGTCCCGTAACCTCACCTGATTCCAGTTTCCTTTTCTGTCAGACTAGAAGAGCAATACCACGTTCTTTGCTTTCCTCACCAGGGTTGGAGGGTCAAGCGAAATGATACATGAAAAACTGTAAAAGTCTTCACAATGTCACTTGCCACAATTACAGGGGGAGAAACTTTGACCCCAAGACATGTTCAAGTCTTCCACACACAGATCTGGAGTCCAGGTGTCCTGGCTTCTGGCCCTGAACTTCTTGGCCGGGCCAAAGGGCCTTTCGGTAAAGCCCTTTGGCATAAAACAGGATGAACATGAAGCATAAGAATGATTATTATTGACTTTTCATTCCTTGGGCAGCAAAAATCATGGCTGGCACTCTTCCCACTTGGAAACCCATTGGCTTGTTTTACATCTATTGTGTCTCTGGAGAGGTCAGAAGTCTAGGACTTGGGCTCTGGGCCAGAGCATGAGGGAATATGCCCTTGGTCCTTTTTCTTTGCCTCCTCTCCCAGTTCATTCTTCCCCGCCTTCGAGTTTTCTGCCCTGTGCCTTGCTTGGAGCAGAGCCTCAGCATTCCACAGCCCCAGCTCCGGCTGGTGACAAGGCATAATCCTAGGTACGGGCTCTCAGCCTTTCCCTGGGTTGCCAGTATTCCGGCACCAGCTCACATAAAACCCCTGGTGTGCCTGGAATGCGTTAACCAAAGTGTCTTTTCCATTGTTCGTGGAGTAATTTAAGATGGTGTACAGCCGAACATATTATTTTCAAAGTTATGTATTTTAATGTGTTTGGAAATGTTCTGTTTTTATTTTTTATTTTTAAGAATTTATTTATTGATTTTTAGAGAGAAGGGGAAGGGAAGGAGAAAGAGAGGGAAACATCAATGTGTGGTTGCCTCTCACGCATGCCCCCACCAGGGACCCGGCCTGCAACTCAGGCATGTGCACTGAATGGGACTAGAGCCGGTGACCCTTTGGTTCACAGGCCCTCGCTCAGTCCACTGAGCTACACCAGCCAGGGCTGAAATGTCCTATTTTTAAATTTTTATTTAAGATAGTGACATAAAGACTTCTTGTTGTCTCTTTATTTGGGGGGTAGGGGAAGCTACTGTCTCTTAATTATTTGTATTTTTTTTAAATTGAGGTACCGGTATTCAGATGTAGATATAGGTAAATAAGTATACACATCTTAAGTGTACAGCTTGATGAATTAACATACGTGTCATTCATGTATTTATAATGTAACCACCACCTGATCAAGATATTGAACACTTCTAGCATCTAGCAAGCTTGATGCAAAGTCAATATTCCCCTCCAAATGTCATCAGTATTCAGAGCTCATTTGCCATAAAGAAGTTTAGCTTGTTTTTGCTGTTCATGTGCATAGAATCACACTGTGTATACTCTTACATCTGACCTCTCACTCAACATTATGTCTGAGACATCATGTTACATCTAGTTCATTCTTTTTCATTGCTATGTAGTATTCCATTGTATAAGTATACCACTATTTATGCTTTCTATTGCTTTTTTCAGTGTTCACATTTTTAATATATTTTCAGTGTTCACATTTTTAATATATTTTATTTATTTTTAGAGAAAGGGAGGGAGAGAAACATCAATGTGTGGTTGCCTCTCGCACACCCCTAACTGGGGACCTGGCCCACAACCCAGGCATGTGTCCTGACTGAGA